GAAACTGTTCGATTTTTAAAAAAAACACACGGTCAAGAGAGTGCACACGGCGTCTACTGCGTGTGAGGAAAGGGACAGGAGGAGAGGTTGAACAGTTGAAGAGGGAGGATGTGGTTACAGTTGGGGGTTTCGGATACGACTGGACAGGCAATAGACAGGATGGAGGGACAGGGGGTTAGCACATTTTTATTCTTGAGGCAGGTCCGGCGGCTTCTCTAGAACAGCAGTCTTGACCCGGTCGATGCTGATCACGTTCCCCTTGCCACCGAGGAGGGTCCGGCACGTCCTGATAGTGCGTGAAAACACATGAAACGGTCCTTCATATGGTGACTCCAACGACTTGCGCACACGGTCACACCGACCAAACACATGAGTGCAGTCGGCCAGACTCTTTTTGATATAAGACTCGACTGATGGAATTTGCGGTGGAACCGGGGAAAGTGAACGTATAAATCATCGCAGGCGATGCGCGAAGTTATCAGGACTCCCGTCAGCACCGCGAGAGGTTGGCGTAACCATCTCGCCTGGCAGTCGGAGGGTAGTGCCGAACACCAATTTGACTGCGTCGCAGTCCAGACCCAACTTCAGTGACATGCGAATGCCAAGAGGCGCCAGTAGCAGGTTGTCCGACCAGTTCGTGGGGTCTCCTGAAGCACGTAGAGGCGTCTTTAGCTGGCGGTGGAAAGGATTGATCATGACGTTGGCTGATCGATGGTAGGCTGTAATCGGAGTGTGCGTGTGTGCGGCCAAGAAGAGCGCTTGAAAGAGAACGAACTGGAGTTGGGCAGCTCGGTCAGTCGTGAACGTGGGTGAGACACCGAAAATGGTGACCCAGCGACTGACGAAAGCCTTGACGACTGGTGTTCACTTTAACGTTCCGTAGGCGGATGGCTTCAGCCCAGCGGTCGACACGGGTGAGTGTAGTCAGTGGATGGAGGCAAGACGCCAGTTGAAGTCGGCACAGGCGAGAAGATTTTGTCACTTGTTAAGGCTTCCCTCCCCTAGTCTAGACTTTAATATTATGATAATGAAAGCAGGGTCACAGATCAGGACCTCACCAAACCGTGTCAAGACCTATTTCACACATAAGTTTACATAAACGAACCAATAAAAACAAGGCTATGAGCTCGCCTGTTTCGAGGCTGATTGTTGAAGGCGTGTGGAAAAGCACAAAACCAAATTTTGTGTGCCATGATGAAGAAAAAGTGGTCGAGCGGGAGAGGACATGAAGCTTCAAAGCTCACAACAGCTTAATTATCCCTGATATATACTTAGTCGTGGAGGGACGGCTTCGATTCTTGGACATTCTCGGCTGTTAACCCGAAGGTTCACAGGAAACTATGGTCTTCAGAGGACCGCCTAACACGTTGCAAATACTAAGTTATCACAGTGATCACTGCCTTCAGCGCAGGACATTGTGTACGTGTGTTGTGTTTGCGAAAAGAGGCTCACCTCAACACGTCAACTACCAGGAGGGCAAGTCACCATTATGTTCGGGAAAGCTGTCCACGAGTATCCACTAAAAGCGGTCGATGCGTCCCAGCGCAGTGGAGAAGAAAGGACACCATTTCGCACGCAAAGGGAGTGTTAGTGACCGGCTAGACTCCGTGTTACTCAGAGGGGAAATCCCTCACAAGCCCGACTTGACACTTCGGCGACAAGTGATGCATCTGGAAAATCCCACCACACGACAGAACGAGGTCATCCACGGTCTACCGGTTATGCTACACAGTTGTGAGATATGCGACCGCGCCGGAGGAGTCGCGCCCTACAAGCGAATATGTCTGAGCACCAACCTGCGATGCTGCAGAGGTGAAAATCGGCAACTCGCGCCCCCCTTCCATGATTCGATGCAATCGAGATGGCGACGACCCGCCAAGAAAGCTGAGAAAGTAACAGCTGTCTGGTGATTATTTGGCAAATCCCGCAGCTTGCGTGACCTTTCGACTCACATGACACGAACTCAGGTGAGCCAATGAGCAATCGGCAGCCGATATTGGCTACCTGCTAGCGACGCGCCACAATCAGACCCCCAATAATAAGAGGGCTAAACTGAATTCTTCAGTCGACACTGCTCTTAAAAACGCCAAACGCCTACTAAACAAATCCCACTGGGTGCTGCTTCTTCCTCCCCTGATACATGCACTACTCTTTACTTCTTGTCGCCTTTACGAGTTCGTAGGTCGTCCATTTAACTAAAGGGGACGAGACACGGTTATTTCGTGAGAACTGAAGTGCTAAATGGTCGACACGCCGCACTCCTTACCATTAGATGCAGTTTATCTTCCCAAATGGCTTAAGGTTAGGGGGAAAAAGGCAGACTCAGACGGCACAAAGAAGACCCGCACTGAGAACTGACGACGTACATGGAGCTGTCATTTGCGTCTACCCTGTCAGCAGACCCTGGCCTCATACTAATTAAAATCACTTGCGTCCGGTTAGTAAGAAAAACTAATGTAAACTGAGCTGCCGTAGAACAAGGCTTTAAACCTAGCTGCCGAATTGAGCAAGTATAAGGCACAGCCTGCTGGGAAATCAAGGACGCATCAAACGATATCCCCATGAGCCTGAGGTTGGATATTTGAAATTCAACTCGATTGAGTAAAGTCATAATGAGGAAAAGGATAATGTATTGATGAAAGGAAGCTGTCGAATAGGTTCCAGCGCATGAGTTGCTTTCACAGTGACTCAGTCTTCGATGTGTGTATTGTCGACAGAGGCAGTGTAGATGCGCTTGACAAACACAGGGACCATATCGGACTCTGGCAGGTGTTATCGGGGTTGCACACCATAAAAAATGCCGACATTTCGGAGTGCGGTGGCGGACCCCGTTGTCGGCAGTCGTCGCGCACACTGGAACCGCTGTAACGCCTCATTATTGTTGCTGATCAAAAACTTGGTTATTTGCTGTGTGGACCAGAGGGTGTGGAGTGGAACGCCAAAGTGCCGGCTCGACCGTGCCATCCACCTGCGCCCTCCCCCGCCTCCGGTCTTCTTGAATCTGTTTTGACACCGGGTCCAGGTGGGGAGTGAGGAGATAGAGAGAGCGGTAGATACAGCGACAGTCTGCTACCACTGACAGTTCGACCGTCGATTTCGACGATGTCCACCGTGTGCCCCACAGACTGCGTTGTGGGAGCAGGGACGGTGACTTGCGCAGGGGTTTATAGTGCCAGTAGACTTGCGCTGCATCTACCTACACTCTCTCCTCCTCCCCCGCCTGAGCCCGGTGTCAAGACAGAGTCAAGAAGACCGGAGACGGGGGAGGCCGCAGGTGGATGGCTCGGACGGATCCTCACCTTGGCGCTCCACTCCGCACCCGCTGGTCCACACACAAATGTCCAGGATTTTGAACACAAAACAATGGGGTGGAGGCAGTGGTCCAGTTGTGCGACGAATGCCGACAACAGGGTCCGCCAGCGCACCCCGCAAATGGTGGCATTTGTTAGTACGCAAAGATAACGCCTGCCAGAGTCTGCTACCACTATAAACTAATTCACGCTCATGTCACCGTCCCTACTCTCACCTTCCTGTGGAGCACACGGTGGACATCGTCGAAATATCGTGTCGACAGAGACGTTAGGTCTTGCAGAGAAGTACTGGAATGATGTGATTAAAACCACGGTAGGATAGGTGAAGTGGTCGAACCAACAGTGACCCAAGTCTAGGAGATGCCGGCGTGCACGAGTCATCGATTACGCACAACTTAGAAAACTTGGAAATTGTATACCGGAGAGTTCAATAGGAAGAGAAAAGGTCCAGATTCAAACGGCGTTTTTTAATTAGAAAAGTTGAGAAAGGCGGAGGTCTAGGCAAAAAAAAACAAGTGAAGCAGCATAAAAGTGATCAGTGACTTACTGATAATAGGTGAGAAGTAAGTATGCTCGGATGCATATAGGCATAGACTCTTATTGTGAAGCGACTTGATCAGCCGAGAACGGGCAAAAGAGGAAATAACGGAGCTGAAGAGAATAATATAAATTCGAAGAGTTCTATCACATATGCACAGAAGGCTGTCAAGTCACCCATTGATATCGTGTAGCGCTCATCTCGAGGACTGGCTAAGGGCTCAAGGATATGCGTGAGGCGATAGATGGGACTGGAGGAAGCAATGAAGTGAAACGGTTCTATGTCAGATGTTTGTTAGAGGGCGGAGGGGTGAGGGGGAGAGTGGAAGAGGAAGAACAACCGGTCTCGAGATTCTCCTTGACGTCCTCCTTCACTAGGAAACCAGTCTGCTGCAGGGGAAGTCTCAGGTACAATGGATCTCGCAAGCGACGGAGATCACTGCGGAGAGCAGCTAACTTGTCACACAATTGATTGTACCGTTCCACATCAAAGCCTTTTTCGGTCGCCTTTTTGTAGAAGACCTTCAGGTATTCTCGGTCAAAAACTTGCGGGAAGGAGTAATCCTGCATTGACGGAAGAGGGTGAATGGTAAGTTGTTTGAGAAAGACGGCTTAAACATAGAGTAGATTTTACGATGAGAAGATAAGAAAAGTTGGTATCCACTTAAGGCTAAATTTACTTCGCAATGTCTCTTCACCGGATATGGCTTTGTGCTACACCACGTAGACGAATGACCAGGCTTTCAAGCATGCAACCTGAGCCGCGCAACGATCAACTAACGCGCTTTTAAACTGCACTACGCCTTGCCTAACTTCTCATTGGCTGTTGCAACCCATAAACACTCATCGCGTGGCCTGAAAGCATCCAATCAAATAACTGCGATCGTGTACGGCCAACTGCGTTACCGAAGCGCATAGACAAACGCATGACATGACAGAACCAGGGAAAGGAAAAACGTGATCTAGGCTGAATTTTTGCGAGAAACAGTCAGCTTTCTTGCCTTACGGGAAATAAGTCATGGTTTTTGGGAATATGAAGAGAAGCAACTTTGAGGGTAGAGGAGAAAACTGCCAGTCACCAAAACCCAGATAAAACGTACCAAGATGCGATAACACGTTAGGGCAAAAGGAATAGGATGTTAGGCTGGTAAATACGCCTATGTGACAGAAAGTCCTTAGGGGATCGCTAGTCTCGTGAGAATTCCACCACAAAACTGGACTTACTGCCAGTGGCGATGAGTACAGTCCGGCAACCAAACAAACTTTGTAGTCAAGAAAGTCTTCAAGGCCGGAAAAAAATTCCAAAAACTAAAAAGCCCTAGAAACTGTGTGTTTGAAATGCACTTGTGCAAATTAAAGTGGACAGAGTGAAGAACAGAGAGGGCCATTTGCAAAATTACGTAGCCAACAAGGTCCAAAAAATGATAGGGTGTTTGAAAAAAGGGCAGTAAAACCGAATAATGAAGAAAATGTATTCAGGGGGTTGGAAGGGAGGTGTAAGGTAGTCATAATAAGACGTTAGGAAAAGCTCTCAGGACGGTCACCTAAACAGTTTTCAGATGCCATCTAAAGTTACTGGTACTTTCTGACGACATCTTTTTCCATCATGCAATAGTCCTAAACAGGTATCAATCATAAACTGACTTCGAGTCGCTCAGCCTCGGAGTCTCCGTGGCTATTGACTCCATATGAAGATCCTCTTGTTTGGGTTTCAATTCCCTCATGTTCTCCAGGGACAGATCATGAATGCCCGAAGCGTCTGCTCAAAGATAGGGAGAGAGAGAGGACTTCTGAATGGTGGCTTGCGTTCACACCCTTACGAAATATGCGCTTTTAGGCGTACCTACCACCGTGTCTTAGCTTTAACCCTAGCACCCCCCCGAAGTATAGCGCAAGGCCACCTGTAGTACTGGGGAGGGGTCCATATTCCCGTGCCCTGTTGAATCACGTACCTGCCGAGTAACGACGTAGTAGGCGTACATGGCCATGGTTGTGCCGTAACCGACGAAATAGGTGACCGGTTCCATGATATCCCAAGAGTACTCCCACCAGGTCAGTCGGGCGAGTAGACCAAACTGCAGACCCATGGCTCCAAGACCAATCCAGGTGAGTCTCCGGGTGCGTTCAGCGGCCATGGCTGCCAGTTGGCTACGTTTCTAAAAGGCAGAGTGAATATCAAGAGAGATAGATAGGGAGAGGGAGAGAGGGGGGAATAGGGTGAGAGACACGGTAATAAATAATTGGCAGGCAACCGGAAAGGTGTCTGACTCCGTTTTGGGGGTGTGGTAACTTGGTTCATTTGTTGGAGTTGCTAGGGTCTCTTCGGTCCTCAGATTGACAATGACCAGCTGGCAACCCAAAACTCTGTGCACATAAAGTGAACCAAAGTGGAGGCTCTATAGAGTCCAATTATTGTCTGACAACGGAAACAACGAGGTCGACCTTATCGGAGTTCTCCCTCTCATGAGGAGAGAGAGAATATGTTTGCTCACAAAGTACAGGGACTAGCATATACGATAGTGAATATCTACGACAACAACCGACAGGAGAATGAGCCTGTGGCTCAGTGGCAGCGCACTGGAATTATAAAATGCTCAAAGACCAAAGAATTTGGGTTCGAATGCACGGTTATCCAAACCCGAGAGTGGGTATGGCTGGTTGCCCTTGGCATTGCCGACCCTCCTTCCCGCAGTACAAGAAAATAGATTCGCTAAGCGGATGTAGATTACATGCTATCGAGATGGTGTGCATCCGTAGCGCGAAATAAAACAATAGCGGCACAAAGGCGTTTTGAAAGCCACGCAAATCTGGTCCGATTACGCTGTCTTGTCGAAGGTCGTAGCACAGTGACAACCAACAACCAATGAAAATCGTCCACTGCATTACCTTGGTTATTTCCTGATCCTAATAAAAAGAGTATAATGTCATAACTCAACTGATAGGGCATCTCGCTCAATGACCGATTGGGCCCCGACCGAAATCTCAAATAATTCCGGCCCCGACTAACGCGGGGCGGCCGAGTCCAAAATAGCCATTTAAAATCAGCAAAGCCACCAGGCACGAATAAAGTTCGCATCCTCTATTAGTGGAATTACTGTGTAGTTTGAAAACCTAGACGTCAGCATATCCTAGACGAGGTCAAATTTCAGACTGAACTCATAGGGTATGTGAAAGTGACAAGGTTGGAGAAACTGTCGCCGCGGGACGGGAGGCCATACGCTGTTGACAAAATTAAGTAGACAGACAGTCGTTTGGGGCTGGAGAGGCGACTACGGTGAGAGGGGGAGAGAGATTGGTAAGCACTTCAGATGAAGAGGAGGAACACATGATGCAGAAGTGACTGATTGCCGTGAGAAAAAAGTGAGGCTTCGTCATCTCACACAGCAAGACAGAAGGCGCAAGGCAGTCCCAGAGCAAAGTGGGACAGTCCATACCAGTCCCCGCCCCAACTACCCCCCCCCCGACCCCCGGTGTTATTGAGGGTGTTACTTGAAGAATGTACGTGAAAAGTCCAGGAAAGAGCTGATGAGGGGCCGGAACTCCAGCAAACTGCAAGAGTGTTAGAGTTTGCGCACATCTACCTAGTCTGATGAGAGGGTAAAAGTGCAATAACTTACAGCATCTATTTTTAAACGTCGTAACTACAAAGTAGAATAAAAACAAACACATGCCTCGGCAGCAGAAGTAAATCACCAGCTTCAATCGATTTGTACATCGGTTAGTAATTTTGCAAGTCGGAGACGGGAATATGGATCTCCCACCCTACTGCAGGTGACCTGACGCTTACTTCCAGGGAGCACTTACAGTATGCGACCCAACTCATGAAACGTGATGAGGCAGATTGGATGTATCAACTCCAGGCATCTAAAAAACTGTGCACTTTATCTATTTGCCTGGCCCGGACCGAAAAATGTCCTTTTGCATGCAAAGTATGCTTACGAATTATTTTATCGCATAGTCGGGCAATTTCCAACGCTAATAGCTGCCCTAGACATGATTTGCGCATCGGCATTTATTTTTAATTCAGAGGAGACTAAAGGTAACTTCGAGAGTTTTGCCAAACAAGACTTTCAGGAAACAGAAAAAGATGGCGGAAAGTGCCATTTTATTCTTGAATTCACCGTGTAAAAAGGTAGAGTACGTGGACACCTGTCAGCAGGACACCACACTAAAGCAGTTTTTAAATGGGTAATTTATTAGAGGAAGTTATTCAACTGACTAAAAGCATTTCATAGTTGTGGGCATTCATTTTTTACGACGATTAGATTTTATGCTTGGGTGAGTCTTCGAACATGACCCAAGCGGCCACCTATAGGAAAAAAGAACGCCCAAGTACTCAGTACGTCGGTAAACACTGTGCAGAAATATCTTAAATTAAAGGTTAGTATAAACGCATAGCACATAACCTTTCTTTTTGAACAATCGATTGAAAACACTGGCATTTCAAGGACATTCCGAGACTCAAGGGACTCATAAGCAAAAACTGTAAGTTCCCTTAATATGTGCAAACCGGCATGCTAATTAATACATTTGTGGCTCCCATTCAAATTTTGATGACTCCTGACCTGCTCGTCAACAGATGAACTTATGGAAACTATTATTTATGTGACGACTCTACCAGCGACTTCAAGCGAAACCCCCTTTGCTTTACTCAATCGGGTTAGATGGTAGTTGGTAGCCCTCCCGGTACCGAAAACTTCCAGCTACCTGTCTTAGGGGACCGGTGGTAATAGGGGCTATGCGGTTAGGGCAGATGAGTGGAGGCGTAAATGGCGCTTGTAGGGTATGCCTGGAATTGACGTTCCTGGAAAAGTCGAAGCCTAATTTAAATAAGGTTAAAAATGCAAGGAGGGTATAGAAGTAAGCATGGATAATTAGTACGGTATGCAAGATGAATGCATCCTTGCCCCAGATTGGAAAGAATATCAAGTGAAGGCGAACAACCATTAGGAAGAAGGCAGTGTGTCTTAAGGCCATTCCGCAGTATGTGCGATAGTACTCCAACCGACAGAATGGACATGAGAACACGAGAGTAAAGCAGCAGCACGCAGGACGGCATAACGCAAGCGGGATAAGACTTTAATGCGAAAAATATGTTTGGGCGAAAGAGAAAATCTGCAAATAATAGTGTATTGTCACTGTGGCCACATCTAGGATTAAAACTATGGCAGTAGTTGTTTGCTATACGTGAATGGTGTACTATACAATGCAAAGAGGAATTAGCACTCTGTATATGAAGTTACACTTTGTTCTGCTTGCAGAGCCCAGTCTCTTAGAAGGCGAAGGAAAGTGGGACCGCAAGTGGATAGGCCGACAGATTATTCGCGGATCCTGGCAACAATCCACTCGTACTACCTAGTGCAGTATCTCCAGCAGAAAGGACTACTGACCTGTAGGGTCTTATGTAGATGCCGAAAGGTCGTGCCCTTACAAATACTGCGACAGCACACGGATGGTTATGCCTTCAGGTAACATCTGGGTACTGTGGTATACAGCCTAGGATAGTACCTCTTAAATGAATCAGATACAGGTAACAAAGTGCGCGCACGCAATTAGAAGCATAATGAGAAGCATGATGAATCATAATTCGCCTAGGATAAATCTTTCGCCCTTTACTAAAGATTTCCCTGTAGGGGTGCAATATAATGAGTCTATATAGACATTTTGCAGCGCCTCGTTCTCGGGGCGGTTAAAGTGAAGAAGAAAGTCATTCTGACAAAGCTTCTGCGCGTGCACTCCCAGACATAATGAGAACGTAATTACAGAGCTTGAAATCGAGCCAGTAAGTGCAATTGTAGAATCAGTGGGCAGGGCTACCAACTACCATCCTACCCTCAATCGCATTTCGGGCAATACAGAAACGGAAAATTACATCGATTTTGCAAGACACGGTCTTGAAACACATGACCAGATATTCTTGGTCAAGTAAACAAACATGTCAAACAATACTTTGCTACAGCGTCTTATCCAGTGTTTTTCTGCACTGCTTGCTTTTAAAATTTGCGATCTGCTTACCTGAGACAAATGCTCGCGTTTCTGAAACTTGCACTATTCTTAAGAAAATTGTTCTTTAAACCAACGAAATGGTACTTTTAAAACGTATTTAACTACCCAGAGACCGTCCATTAATGGTTTGGTGTTTCGGTGGAGCCCTTCGGACTGGTTGCAGGTAGGATAGTTCTTTTACATTAATGAAGACGCATTCGGTAAGTTAGGTAAGTCACGATATGACCGTGTCCTAACTTTAACCGTAACTTGAACCTTACTGATGAATTGTTAATCCTTCAGGTCAGTAATGGGCATTAAATAACAGCGGGAAAAGTAGGAGCAGACAGGGCCATTTTGAACGGAACTAGGAACTTGGTAGAAGGGCAGTAAATGCACGGCCGACAGCTGCTCTAACAAATCACCTATCAAGCCAGTAGCCAGAGCTTAAACGGACACCCGCTCATCTAGGGGATCCGGGCTCTTTAAACCAATACGCGTTTTGCCATCTCGAAAAGAGGCATTAAGAAATAATGTTTTATGCAAATCGTGAATGATAATCCGGCAGTTTTCGACTTTCTAAACCGAATATACGGTAGGTGGGCTAACTCATGAAATGTCAACCGAAATTCTCAAATGCGTTTTCGTTTCAAAAGATTATGTAGGGTTGTAAAACTAGTCAGCCTGTAACATAATTCTATAATATTTCAGTTACCTGGGGATGCCGGCTTTCGAATGAACTTCCTTCCGGCTGCATGCAAAAACGACACTGTAAAAAATGCCTGCATATGTAGCATGCATTGATTTTCGATGTCCCTAAATGTCCAATTATATTTCATGGAAAACATGAATTAAAATATTCATTCTTTTGCTCATTCGTAGATAATAATGTCTTCTTCTAATTTTATACTCGAATGAGGGACATAATTCGGTTTTTGCATGCAGCCGGAAGGAATTTCATTTGAAAGCCGGCATCCGAAGGTAACTGAATTATTATAGAATTGTGCTGCAGACTGATTGGTTTTACAATCCTACTTAATTAATCTTTTCGAAACTAAAACGCATTTGAATATTTCGATCGACATTTCATGAGTTAGCCCACCTACTGTACTTCTCAATTACTCCAGGGCGCTCGCGGTTAAACGTCGTTCCAAGGGCGAGTTTTTCAATTCGGGACAGGCAGCGGCATTTAGCCACTACAAGTCCAACTACATAAAGCGATTGTAAACGGGCGTAAACAGTTATCTGATCCCGTCATGAGATTCGTACGACGAGTTTCTCCATGTCTCCTATGGCTGTTTTCGGGGAGATGGTAGACTCCTGTCCGCTGATGCTTTCAGGAAACATGACAAGACTGTATGCTACTGACGTTGCTGAAGTTTACGAACCCAGGCTGAAAGGCCTTTTTGTGCTACTGTAAATGATCGCAAAATTCCTAACCTACGTAAATTCTTTATGCTCTGACGAAATCCCCATTTCGAAATAAGCTAGGGCACAAAAAGAAGGATTTAAAATCAGGATCCTGACTCCTTTTAACCGTCTCATTAAGAGAGACACGTGTCCAACAAGCCTGCTGGAAACTCAGAGAACCCACACAACTGAAGATTGAACGATATGACACGACCTACAAATTGGCCTGGAGTTGACATTTGGATTAATCAACGGCTTTCAGAATAAATGTTCAATCAGACTGAGAGAAATGAATTAACGCACTCCAGTTGAAGGCGATCGATACGAGTTGACCTTGGATGCGTGGCCACGAAAAGCAGACCACGTGTCTGAGAATGCAACACGCAAGTCATCCTTTACTGTGCGCAAAAAACGCCAATAATTGACTCCTCCGACCAGGACCCCTAAGTGGAACAGTGGTGAGCTGTGCGTGAGCTTAAATACAGTTACGGAGACCTAAGTAATATCGGACTATGTCTCGCTTTTCCACTCCAGCCCTCTTATGGCCAGGCCAGAGCCACTGGGATATGTGCTATTCTCGGCTAAAGCTCCATCAGCACGAACTGGAGTTCATCTGGGGATTATAATGCACGATTATTAATATAACAATCTCCTCTAAGCAATCATTTCTGATCGAAAACACATTACAGCATTTGGGTCGACATTTCAGGAGATAGACCAGCCACTGGGATATGGGCTATTCTCGCCCAAAGCTTCATCAGCATGTGTAACACGGCAGCTGGTTCTTTTTCCACAACCAAACTAGGCTTCACACAACCACTAACCGGTGTTGGAGAGACAAAACGGCTACCCACGCACACCTGTTTTCGAGCCGAAGGGCGGGGGAGTGGCTATTGCACACAGAGTACAGCTTTGTGAGTGCCAAAAGAGATTTTGGAGTGGTGCGGTAAGGCACTCCGTGCGAATGTCAATTCATAAAATGTAAAAGGTCTGCCAGAGCAGTGTGGCCTATTTCGGGAAATGTTAACCGAAATTCTGAAAGGTGTTTTCGACTAGAAAGGAGAACTTAGTTGGGGCTGCATATTCCAAGATACTTCAGTTACGCCAAAATGCCTTCTTTTGCATGAGCTCCTTTCCGGCCGCCCGCAAAATGTAAGCTCCGGTAAAAATTACTGCTTTAATTGTATGTATTTCTCCCCGTGGGTTCTCGACGCCCCTACAAATTCAAATATATTTTATAATAAAAATGCAAAATGATATGCTTCTTTGTAGTCATTTGGTAGCAGAATTTGGTCAATGGCATTGTTCCAATGAGCCAAAAACACCAAATAATTAGGTAAGCCTGGTGGTCATCTGGTTCATTCTAGATGAGCTACTTAGGAAATCCTGTTTGCAGTCAGCTTACTATATAAAATTGGTGGATTTAAGAAGTTGCGGTAAGCTGGACGGGTTACTTGACCAAAAGGTGATTAGACTCACGACTCCCGATGAAGCCTCGTAGCTCAGGTGGCTAGAACGTTGACTGTACTCGAGCCTCTGCTTGCGTCGGTCCAAATCGCACCAAAGCCGCAATGTTTTATACAATTGCGTCAAAGCAATTATTCAGATTTTCCACAAACACCAATAAATCACGTCTTCTTTAAGCATGAGGGATATCCTTCGGTTTAGAAAAAGTTTGTAATTATAGCGAAATGTCCATCCATACAGCATAGTACCTGTCCGTTTATCAATGCCACTTATGACGTACACGATATGGTACGCATCTATAGCAAAATTTTATGATTTCTATATGACCTTCTCCTTAAAGCGTAAATATGTGCATGACTCTCCCTGCACGGAAAGCATACGGCATGGTGTCTAAAGATCCTAAGCTCTAGTTCAACCGCACGTCGGGTTAAAAAGTATTGTGGAGATGAAAAAAACGTTTTTTTAAACCAGAAGACACCCCTTTTCAAATGTGAAGTTTGAAGAAGCAATTTGCTACCACATGAGTGCAAGAAGATATGTCTTTACTCATGTTTTCTATAAAATATTTGGCAGGATGGTAGTTGGTAGCCCTGCCCACTGATTCTACAATTGTACCTACTGGCACGATTTCGGTATCTGTGATAACGTTCTCAGTATGTCTGGGGGGGTGCACGCACAGAGGCCCTGTCAGGATGACTTTCTTCTTCACTTTAACCGCCCCGAGAACGAGGCGCTGCAAGACTGTCTATATAGACTCATTGTATTGCGCCCCCACACGGAAATCTTTAATAAAAGGCGAGAGATTTATCCTAAACAGATTATGATTCATCATGCTTCCCATTATGCTTCTAGTTGCATGTGCGCACAGTATTACCTGCATCAGATTAATTGCATAGGTACTATCCTAGGCGGATTGGCGCGGATTTCCGTTTCGTCAGTTTGCCTGCATCCTCGGGTCTTTTTACTCCAGACCTCCAGTAGAGTCCGGTGCGATCGTGTACGAAAGGACAACCGACGCTCAGTTAGGGTGTCTACCGATACTCCATCCACTGCATCAGTCGTATTGACAGAGTGTTGCCCTCCACCCCCGCCTTTACGAACAGCCCGGTTGTATTTGGTCGCAGGGGTTTGGCTTAAAACTGTGACGCCTTGTAAACACCGCCATGGCCAGTTAGCGATCCTTTCCTGCACTTCCAGTTTAAGGCACTACGGCATCCCCCGGGCGCTTCGACATTGCTGGGTTTGAACTGGGCGCACTTACTACCTCTTGGGTTCAGACTACAACAGCAAGGCGTCTCATACGTCAGTCAGACCCGAAGTGCTTACCTTCCTCGCATTTTTCACCTTATATAAATTAGGTTTCCACTTTATCAGGATCGTCAATTCTAGGCATTCCCTACAAGCGCCATTTACGCCTCCACTCATTTGCCCCACCCGTATAGCCCCTATTACCACCGGTCCCGTAAGTCAGGTAGCTGGGAATTTTCGGTACTGGGAGGGCTACCAACTACCATCTAACCAAATATTTAAAAGAAGACGAAGACACGATCACTGGGACGGTAGAATTATTGGCCCTAGCTTTCGAACTCGAACCGGAGTTCACCATCAGGGACTGCTAGAATGCAGCAACGTGTGAACATTTATATCGTTGTGTCGTGTGGGGGGGGGGAACAACGTCCGTGGCTAGGCCTGGTTTGTGCCGCCTGGTCCATAATGGTCCCCCGGCGTGGTGACGCCGTTTGTACTTCGCGGCGATGTGTGCTGCGCCACCTGACTGAGTGGGCGGAGCGCGTGATAACACGCAGGCAAATCAATGTGTCGACATCAACTCTATAAATAGACAAACGGCGTGACCACGCCGGGGGACCATTGTGGACCAGGCGGCACAAACCAGACTTAGCCACGGACGTAGTTCCCTCCCCACACGACACAAGGATATAAATGTTCACACGTTGCTGCACTCTAGCAGTCTCTGGTGACGAACTCCAGTTCGAGTTCGAAAGCTAAAGCCAGTAAATCTGCCAACCCAGTGATCTGGGATGCGCATATTCTCTTCCATTCTATAAACTATGTTTGAATTTATGAGGACATCGAAAATCAATATGAAAAAATGCAAACCTGTTTAAATAGTCACTTTTTTTACTGAGTGTGGGGTTTACTGGCGATCGGATGCAAGATCCTTCAAGAGGAGACATCCTAGTGTGACTGAAATATCTGGGGATTATAATGCACGATTATTAATATTACAATCTCCTCTAATTAATCATTTCTGGTCGAAAACACATTACGGCACTTGGGTCGACATTTCAGGAGATAGACCAGCTACTGTTCGCTTAAAAGCTCAGGACTTGCGCACAAAGCTCTGGCAACGAGGAGGGCTATGGACGGCTAGTAGCGAATTGACAAAAGAGATGGGGTGTGGCAGTGCCAATGGTTGAGCCGCCCCTAGAAGTTCCAAAATAGAAGTCAACGTGCTGGTAGCCGTGTTAAGGCATGCATCATTCCGCCTCGACATATAACAACTTCGGCCCAATGGGATTCTTCTGTCAGGTAAAATTCAGCAAGCAAAATAAGTGCGGAATTATGTTAACGCAAGACGAAGGTATAGCCCGCAAAGCGCTGTAGGGATCATTAATACAGATACAAGCGAAGATGCGAGTTCCAGGAACTAGTTGATCAGAAAAAGAGGAAACGATCGCTGGAACAAGGGCTTTATTCGCCCTTGTTCCAGAGATCGCTTCTTACTCTTCTTCTGATCATTAATACAATCGGCAGTTTGGCATCGAGATATCCGAGAAGGAGAGCGAGTCTGCGACCACTATCCGCGCCTTGATTCGGTTGAAAACAGTGATTTGGTAGGCAACAATTAGAGCAACATGAACGTTGTCTAATCATGTCGGAGAGAAAAGCCCTTACAGTACAATTCCTCAAGAAGAAAAGTGGGTCTTTCCTAAAACAGTCAAGCCCGAGAGAGAGCAAACGAGGAAAGAGAGCAGAAATGGGGAAGGCAGAGACATCATGTGCAGCAAATATTTGTTCAACGCCATGGCCCAGCCCAAGCAAAAAGGGCGAATTTCACAATTGTAGAGCTGCACAGTTAACGCGCAAACTTCACTACCCTCCGGGATGTGTATGTGCAGTCAACAAACGTTGCCGTTAAGTAGGACACAAAATAGGAGTAGGACTGATGGGCACAATTTGCAGGCGCGCACACGTCGATCGCTATCCTCAACTGCGTGCACTACGTCTGATGAGTTGCGCCATCACGTCAGTGATTCAGGCCGGTTGAGAGGTGCCAACACGAGCGCAACCGATAGTCAGGCCAACAAGGGCCTCGGGGATCGCCAAGGGCGATTGTCTGCACAAATAGAGTTGGCTCCTAGAATAAGTTCGCATGCTTGAAGCGGGAAGTGGGGCGGATATATGTCTTCCCTAGTTGATTGCAGTTTTATGAGTCCTCTGGACCATGCCCCCCTTGTCGTTGTTAGGTGGAAGAGAGCTCCTTTCAGCACTATTGGCCCCCTCAGGGCAAAAAAAATCGGTTAAGGAGTGATGCACCAGACAGCAGCTGAGTGGGACGGATTGGCGAAGGCATGGCTCTCTGCAGTTCACGGATTACACTGTGTATCTCTCCATCCGCCCACCTGGAACGCAAATTGGTAAGATCGCAGTTGGTAGCCAGAAATTATACGTTGATAGTGTCGACGTACGAACTTGTTATCAGTAGGTGTGCTTAGCTTGTCTAGGGAACTTGTTATCGGTAGGTGTGCTCTTACGGAGTTAGGCAGGTCGCCCGTTTCGGTCAGGCTGTTGTGTATAGTGAGGGTTAGGGTTAGGCGTAGGTTAAGTTTTATGATTGGGGCTCGCCCTTTAGGGCCAGGTTCTAGTGTTAGGGTTAGGGTTTAGACTCCCGTTAGGGTTAGGGTCAAGGTTAGGATTATGGCTAGGTTCTGGGTTAGCGTTAAATTCTATGATTTTGGTTACGCTTCGGTTTTGAGGCTTATGGTTAGTCTTTACGCTTGCGGTTTAACGTCCCGAGATTTCGCCAAACAGCAGCATGTTGCGGTCCTTTTGTGTAAAGGACCGCTTTCCCTAGACCAGTGGCCAAGCACGGTTGACAGTAACACCGCTGGCTGCTAGTACTCAGAAGTTGAACACTGGAATAGGCACCTCCTGCGTTAAATTCCGTTTTCTAATTTTGCCCTAACACTAATCCTAACATCAACCCTAACGCCTCTCTCTCTCTCTCTCTCTCCCTCTCTCTCTCTCTCTCTCTCTCTCTCTCTCTAGCACAAATCCACTTGTAATACGGAAACCACCCGTTTCTGCGCTCTGCCTCGTTAGATTCGATAGTCTGCTGGCTTTTTTTCCAGCCTCCGTTGTAGGTCTTTCCTGTTCCCCCTATCAGTGGAGACGCCGAATGAACACGCCCGGAGGGAGGAGGGAGGGGTCCTGTCATTCCGGATTTAGAACACAGACGACTGGCGGGAGCACCGCTAGTTTGATTGGTCGAGATAATTCAGTGCTAAGCTCTTTTTCGCCGACCGAGTTCGCGACAGACACGGCCAGAAGAGAGGCAGTTGAAAGAAAACTACACAAAGCTATGCCTGTCTGCCGCCTAGAGGCGCGCAAACAGCTGTGATGGAAAATGTGCTGCGCATGTGCGCAGCGTTGTACGCGCCAGCCACCCTGGAATCGGACGAAATGCGTGGTCAGGGTGCAGCTTGGGGGAGGATCGGAGTGAAATAGCAGCCGTCGCCTTACGATCGGTGCAGAAAAGAATACAGCAATCGGCAAAAAAAACGCCATAGCCGGATTCTACTGCTAGCTTTGACACGTACATGACTGGGAAATTTGTGGCAGACCATTGCTTAGGCGTGAACACTGGTCAGCGACATAGGCGACACTCGAACCTTCGAAATGATAAACAGTAGGTGGGCTAACTCACGAAATGTCAACCGAAATGCGTTTTCGTTCCGTAAAGATTAATTAAGTAGTGTTGTGAAACTAATAATCCTGCAGCATACTTCTACAATAATTCCGTTACTCCAAAATGCCGGCTTTCAAACGAATTCCTTTCCGGCTGCATTCAGAAACTATACTCCGTATAGAACGACTACTTAAGTAGTATGAATTTTTCTCATTGACTTTCGATTCCCTTAGAGATTCAATTATATTTCATGGAAAACATGTATAAAAATATTCGTCCTTTTGATCATTCGGTTGGAAATTACGTCTTTTTCCAACTTTATACTCGAAAGAAGGGTATTATTCGGTTTTAAAAAAGTTCCTAACTGCGAGATTTTTAATACCGTGAAATGGTCGTTCATAAAACTCCATGTCTCTGCATTTACCAATGCGGCTTGTAGAGTTTACAATATGGCCCAAATTCACTGCCAGGTTTTATGAACCCCATATGGTCACCTCTCAACACCGTAGAGAAATGTATAGTTTTAGGTACGAGGAAAATATACGACTTTTAGTTTGGAAACCCTGAATGCAGGTGTAACGGCAGGTCGGGGTTCAAAATTATTCAGGAAGTGGAAGAGTTTATAAAAACCGAGTTATACCCTTCCCTCAGGTGAGGAAAGAAGACGTCATTTTCTGCCGAATGAGCAAGATAATTAATATTTTTAAGCATGTTTTGCATGAAATAAAATTGAATTTTTAAGGGCATCGAATACAAATAAGAAAAATGCATGCTACTTAAGTAGTCGTTTTTTTACAGACAATCGTTTTTAAATGCAGGCGGAAAAAATTTCGTTCGAAAGCCGGCATCCTGAGGTAACTGAATTATTAAAGAATTGGGCTGCACGATGATTAGTTTTACAGCCCAACTTAATTAATCTTTTCGGAACGAAAACGCATTTTGGAATTCCGGTTGACATTTCACGAGCTAGCCCACCTACTGCATATATCAGTCTAACGCAGTGGAAACGGTGGGTGTGGAAGTCTCTAGTGCGGGAGCCTGCCGATGTGCAGGCTGAGATAAAAAAAAAACGAAACCAGATGCGATAAATCTACACGGCTGTTCCACATGGGATGATGACACATGGCGACAGGGTTTACGTTTGCAGAAATTCAATTTTTAATCTAGGTGTGACTGTAGAGGAACGCGTTAGAAGGGAATACTTGGGCGAGGTTGCCATATGGATTGACATATAGCATCACAATCCCAAGATATTTCGGTTCCACCGATTAAGTGCCCTTATTTTCCGGCCTCTGTAAAAACCGGCTGCCTAAGTAGTGTGAACTTTCCAAAAAATATCCACGTTCCTGCAGATAAAAGCACATCTTATAGAAAGTATGCACAAAAGTGTTCTCTTTTGGACTCATTTAGTGGGAAATGACACTTTCCGTAAGTTTTATACGCACATGAAGGGAACCTTTCGGGTTGAAAAAGCTTGCCATTGCGCGATTTTTCTAAGACAGTAACATCTGCATTCAAATAGCATCGTATCTATCCGTTATAAAATACATGACGTAGTCCAAATCCACCGAACTATTTTCCAAGAACTATATAGCGTAATTTAATAACAGGGAGGAATGTACTTTGGAAACCCGAAGCGCAAGATAAACGACACGTCGAATTCAAAATTATTTAGGAATTGAAACACTATTTAAACTTAAAAGATGCCGGCTCTTCGAGTTCGAAATTTAAAGAAAACAAAATTTTCTACGAAATGTATGCAAGAAAGGATATTTTATGCATGTTTGGCATTAATATGGGCATTGAAAATCGACGTCAAAAATGGAAACTGCTTAAGTAGTCGTTTTGCAAGCGGCAAGGAAAAAGCGCATTCAAAAGTCAGAAGCTTGACGTAACTAAAATACCCTGAGACTATGCTGTACAATAATCAATGTCGGAACCCCGACCCACGCACATCTTTTTTACACAAAAGCGCATTACAGAGTTTTCTGAGATATGCCATCTATTGTCCTTCGATTCTATCCAAACGAACACGCATTCATGGACGGTTAGCCACAAGAGCGGAAGACCGAAAGGTAAGCTGCCACATTTCACAGTTGGCCAAACTCTACATTCGCCTGCAATCACAACAGCCGTTCTTACGCCTTGCGGAAAGGCTAAACGGTCGCATCTTTACATGAAAGCGGTAATTAACCATAGGTAGAAAATGGCTACCTGCTCAAAGGGTTCCAGCTGCATTGTGACATCGTCGATGCGTCTCCTCAATTCCCGTTCTCTCTCAGCATACACATCGTCCGCATTGAGCGCACAATTCAGTTGGCCAATAAGAGTGCGGATGTGATTAATTTCTGATGCACTGACATCCTTGGGGAGGTCTTGGACGGGAAAGAAGCAAGGATAAGAGTGTTCGGTGCGACTGTGGCCCGAATTAAACAGGACAGATATTAGGGCACAACGACTTTCAAACTGTAGACTTCGAAATAACAGACAGTAAACTAGCAGTCATCCGAAACGCATGAGGCCACTAAAAAATTAAGCGATCCACCCAGTTTCTAGCCACCAACATCTGAAACACCGGCAGACAACAAACCTGACGGTGGTATTGAAGTAAACCAAGGGGTGGAATTAACTTCCACACAAATAACCAAAGACGCGAAGCCGTACATGCAACAAGAGGGTCCGTGTGATAGCATCTCAAGGAGAAGCTAACTTCAAGTGCTTGGAAATGTGAAATTCTCAAGACTGTACCCCGCCCTATGTAACTGTATTGGCCTGATGAGCATTTAACGAAAGGAACGTTCACTCGCCACTATCTCTTCTGAAAATGTGATATTCTCGAGACAAGACTTATCGACTAGAAGTTAATTACATCTTATTCAGTGAAACTACCAGATGAACTACTATGTTGCCTGAAAACAAACTCCAAAGACAGAAGGGAAAAAGGCGGCAAAATGTCGTGAAGCTGCCGAAAAAAGTTTAGCGAGTATACACATTTTTAAAAGAATTTGACATAGAAGAGGTACAACTACATCAAAAATTTATACAGAGAGGAGGATGACAACAAAAGCAATCAACCCATTGGGTTAATGCATGCCACAATGGAAGAGAGAAAAGGAATGCGGATTGTTGTGTGATAGTTGTTTCTGGAAATATTTCAGTCCAGAGATGTCAGATCGTGAAGTTTTTAACCATGTCAACTGTAAGGCTTGCATGCAATTCCTCTAAGCACGCATGAGCGAATGCGCAAACGGCTGCAGTCACCTTCGACGGTGCCCGTACTCACTGATGTAATGACTTTCAGTGGTTCTGATAGCCGCCCCACCAAATGTCCACGTCAGCTGTCGGTAATGATTACTGTCACGCAGCGTTTAAAGTGATGAATGCTGTCGCAAACTTTACTTAACATCTCGACACAAGGGTCGGACAGGTTATGGACCGTGATGCAATTGTAAGCTGCTGCTGCTGCTGCTGCTACTACTACTACTACTACTACCACCACCACCACCATTACTACCACTAATACTTCTACTACTGCTACTACTACTACTACTACTACTACTACTACTACTACTATTACTACTACTACTACTACTACTACTGCTGCAACAACAACTACTGCTACTGCTGCTACTACTGCTACTACTACTACTACTACTACTACTACTACTACTACTACTACTACCACCACTAATACTTCTACTACTACTGCTACAACAACAACTACTACTGCTACAACTACTACCATTGCTAGCACCACTACCGCCACTGCTGATGCCACCAGTGCTACTAATACGCTCATTACTACGATTACTACCGCTATTACTGCTACTATTACTTTTACTAGCACTACTAGTAGTGCTAATAACACTATCTCGATTATAATAGTTATTATCGTGTAAAGGCACCTGCGGCAGGATGAGGTCCTCAGGCTTTCCTTCCTTAAACGGCCCCCTGGTCTGTTTGGTAACCCTAAGAGGTCAAACAGATGCATACGGCGGAATGGTTACTTCTTCCACCCAGAGAACGAGCATTCAGCGAAACAGCAGGAGCTGTGTCGAGGCGAAAGCACAGAAGCATATTAGTCCACCAGATTCGCACAGCAACCTTAAAGGTCATCTTTAGGTCGTGCACTGTGGGGCAAAATTCGGTGAGGCAGGCATGATCTGCATAGCGAACAGCGAGAAACGTGGTCCGGGATGGGCAGCACCATGCGAAAAAGGGCGCTGAGGGAGTGAGTAACCAGGGAAAAAACTGTAACCCGTTTAGAGCAGAACCCACCTGACCGGTAATAAGTCTTAAAACTTATTAAACCTGGTCGGCTGTTCAGATGCCCCGTGCTGCAACACTGTGGTAAGGCGTTTCAATCGGGGAGATTTAAAACCCAGTGGAAATAAACCTGAGCTTTTTGATCTGACTGTAGAGAAAAGGTCCTTCTGACCAGAAACCGAGGAAGTGCTGTCTGCTGACCGAAAGCGGCCCAGAAATCGTAGCTACCGGTTCTCAGTTTCGGTCGACCGACTTACTTTGGAATCGAAAAATCTAGGCGGCAAACCTACACACCTTAGAGCTTGAGTTAATTCGCATGCAATGCGACCTAAAAATGCACAATTACCTTGAATGATTATAGAACCAGTGTCGTTAAGATACACTCCATGTTCCAAAAGAAGAACCGCCTACAACGCTTAATTGCTTTTATGACGCCTGTTTTCCAAAAGCTGCCCGCTGTGGTCCAGGCACTGATGATACCGTAACGCGGAGCGATGGAAACGCAAACACCAGGAAACCTTTTGTGTGGTATCCGAGAGTATTCCTGTTTTTTAACAATTACTCTCAATTTAGCGAATATGGCGGTTTTGTCCCGCGCAAAAAGTCTAGAGATGCAAGGTCTGACGGACGTGGTGGGTATTGCGCGAAACGCCTCGTCTAATTCACTTGTGTAACAAGATCCCATCAAGGTAAGAGCTCACACCACGATGGCCGTGGAGGGATGTGCTACATCAAAGAAAGAAGCACCAATACAGTTATCAGCCGGGAAAATGTACATGCATTTCTGTGGGACACCTTGAGATAAATTCAAGGGATACTTTTTTCCGTGTCTCAACTTCAACCCTCATCCAAGTGCCGACGGCAACCCGGATACCAGCCCGCCTAATTCTCCTGACCAAGTCTGGAAGTTAGTGCAAGGCCGCAGGGGGAAGGAGGGCACTTATAACCGGGCCTTACCGCACACTGATAAGGATACAGGATAAAATATTGGCAGACAGTAGTAATGAGTCTTATCGTTCACACATCTCCAGCGCTGGAAAGTGATCAACTCACAACAGAGGTCCAGATCCGGAGTAAAATTTGTTTTTGCAAACCAAAAATTACTCCTGGTTTGGCTTTTAAAATCTGCTTCCGTTTAATAATACTGGCAGAGAGGTGCAAGAAAGCTGCTCAGTAGTAATTACTTGAAGTTGGGAAGCAAAATGTCTTCAAGGACCGGCAAACGCAGGCTGGGGAGAATTAAAAATACAGTTCTAATGATAGGCCAAGTGAAGTAGCTTTATCAAAACTCCCAATAGCCCGCTGCATCGGTATGAAGAGAAAACCTTCCCCACATAGAAAAGTCAGGAAGCAGCCAACAGCAGGTCATATGAACAAAAATAACAGGAAATAAATAAGCCCGGGCAGAATGTATGCCAACTGTGTTGATGAAACAGGTCAGTATAAACAAACCCGCCGTTTTTTAAAGAAGACACCAAACAACAGTTGTGCCAACTCACCCAGACTGGAGATGTCCACTGGGTACTTCTGGTCGTTTATTTCGATTGTGAAATTGGAGGAGAGGAGAAGTTCGATACTGTTGGCTTTGGCGATGCGAAGACCATCTGCAAGAAAAGATAAATTAAGTTCGGGAAAAGTACAAAGACGATTAGCATAGCAGACACAGTTTCAGGCAAGGCAGCCCAGCTCAGATGAAGATAAGAACCCGTATACTTTATTTTACAGTAAGTTAAAATGACTTGATGCTACGTTCAGGACAAGGAACCACAAAAAAGATGTCTTTAGAGGAGGAGAAGGTCCTACTTATTGGGCACAAAATAAAAACAACTGTACTTAGCGTACACGACGCAAAGATTATGAACCAGTGACAAGTTGTGAGAAAGGCGAGTTTCGAAAACTTTCAGCGAAAAAAGCAGTGTGTCGAAGTTATTTTCGATCAGGGTCGGGGTGGCATGTATTGGGAGTGCCGACACCCAAAAACAAGAGTCAGCCAATCACTGAAGGCCACGCGTGCTTTCCTCTGCGCGTTCTCAGCACGATCGTGCCGCCTCGCCGTTGGCTGCTCCCTCGGGCCTGATCGATCCGTGTATGCGAGTTATCGATCAACTCGCCTAGAATTTTCTTCCCGAAGTGCATTGGGCCGAATGAAGGCGAATCCCAGTAGGATGTTATAAATACGCGTTATTTTCCCAGTTAGACTTGACTTGCAGTCTCCTAATACACTTTTTCGTGGCCTGTCGCGTTCTCTTTCTCTGCCGCGTTAGTATTGGGGACAAGAGTAGGGTACGCATACGCTGCACGTGAATTTTACGTACCAGACCGGGTCATAACATCATGATACAGCAATAGGCGTACATGCACGCATGTCCGGGCGAGTGGATGGATGAGGATGGTCCCACCGCCGAACTCACGAGATGCAGCAAGACCCCGGAGGAGGAAGTACTGACTTGCACATGAATAGATTGCATCGAGGAGGGCTCCCGAAGCAGAGACCTCACGCCTTCTGCGCAAAATCAAAGATAGACTGGGTGTACTGGCAGACGAGGCACTCGCCTCCCCCCGTCTACCGCGTGGATTGTTTGAAGGACGCGAACCGGACTTCCCCTCGTCTGGTATGGAGGGACCGCAACAAGAGCCTGTGCAAATTGGCGCATTCTTCTGCAGACCAAGTTACCGCCTCCCCCCTTCTCGCTGACAGCTGTTCGAGACGCGATTTTCAAGGTATTGTGATAACAGTGTGTTTGAACTTCCCTTACTTTATGTCCGATAAGCCATCGGCTGAGTGCACGCACCAAGCGTCCATGTGTGCAAGCATGCGCCCTAGTTCTCTCGGCCAATGTCTGCCCACCAAGCGAGTTTTTAAGCCTGGTCAACGGCGGTACCGCATCGTGGGTACGTGGATCGATAAGGAAGGGGGACGGTGTTTAGCATCAGTCACACTCACTTAGCCAGTTTTCAGTGTCTTGCATGATCGTAGAATTTGTTCGGCCGACCGAAATGGAGACGAAAAAAGCACATGAGCGATATACTAGCAGAGGAGTCAAACGCGACGAAGTCAGCCATTCACGAGAAGGTTGAGCTGGCAGTTCTTACAGTGTAATGTGTTTGAAACACAGATAAAATCACACACGGCTTCCATTCCAGACACTCGGGGCAGGCAGTCTGTCATTCGCAATTCAGTTCGAAGCTAGGTGAGATTTGGTTGAAAAAAGGCAGTTTTCATGACTTATTTAGCCAGTGATGGCGTGAATGTTTGCGATGCTGCGCTGAAAATACGAGCAGTTTAAAAAGAGAGCTTCGTGGCTTGTTCGAGAATGCAATATCTTCAGTAGTCGCTTTTTTATTTCCTCAGAAAGTAACAATAAACTTGGAGTATATCAGCTTATGCCAGGTCTACAGGTCCAGACCGAGATTTTTTTTTCATGAATATTTGGACCGAAGTCCATCAGCCACAGCGGGTAACCGCGTAATATTCATTGGCTGCCGACAGGCTTTAGGGTAAGGTGATACCATATTAACAACGCAGGCGCTAGCCAAAAACCCATACACGCGTGTTTCCCCAATATGCTGCCGCTGCATGGCGCAGCTGCGAGGAGTTCGGCTCGTCAGTGGGTCATCCAGCATTTCCCGTCTGTTTTATGGTAGATAATCCAATTTAGAAATTGTCGCCGTTTTATTTCCTCAGAAATCAACTACGAACTTGGAGTCGATCAGTTTATTCAAAGTCTATAGTCTCAGACCGGGATTTTTGTGAATGAATATTTTGGCCATCCACAGAATATTATGGAAATACTTTTATGAACATTCTGTGCTGCTCGGTTGCCTGAGCTGCTGTGAGAGGAATGGTGTCCGTCATTTCTATCGGAGGGATAAACGCAGGAATCTTTTCCCCGGCGAAGTCATATCCTGTCTGAACGCACGTATGAAAATCACTTTTTGGCTACCAGCAGCCGGCGTCCTTTTGGTTCATTTCAACGGTGGAATGATTCGAAGATCATGATTTGAGTTGGTCTATTTGTTCAGTTAGAACTTTTAACGTGAGTTGATAACTCATCTCACAGTTAGAGCAGTGCTAGCGCCAAGTGATACGAGAACGAGTAATTCCTGCATTTGAGGGTCTTAAAATAGGCGACCACATCTGGTTTGAATATGACCGGGCCGCTCCATATCATGATTGTGTCGTGCGCTATTGCCCCGAAAAAGGTCATCGGTGGGTGAGGGATTGATTGGAATGAGTAGTCACCTAGGCCCCCTCATCTTAACCCATTTGATTCCTTCTCTTTGGACTACCTGATATGCAGGGCTCACAACGACAGGTTCAAAATCGTGGAATTGTTTAGGCAGCCTATTGTCCGGAAGTGCAGTCTAATTGCAGCAGACGCGGTGTCGCGTTCTACCGGCTGCGTTTAGAAGAAACGTGCCGAGTTGCATTTTAGTCTGAAAATTTTCTGACGATAGTACCAGCTGATGCGGGGACGCTACCACCAAAAGTGGAGCCACTTGCGTTTCAGTCAGTCACGGCGCACAAACACACACACAGAGCTGACTGCACCGCCAATTGGCAGCCTTCCAGCCCGCAAGGTTTATCACGTCGTGCTAAATGCAAGCGTCTCCATCGATAGCGGTGACGTGGGGTTATGACAATGCATACAGCAGCAACACTGTCAGACCCAATGAATTTTTTGGCTGGGGGAAGAAACGACACGTCGCGGAGGAAGGACACATGAGTCCGGGTTGCTCTATTTTTCAGGACTCCAACTGATTTTTTTTTCAGGCGGTAAGACTAATAATAGGGGATTACCATGAAAGCATATTGGCTAAAACTGCTCGTTCGAAAGTACGAAGTTTTGAGGAGTAGTTGCGTCTTCACGCAGTCATTTAGGTTACTTTATATTTTGGAAATACTTCCGTAGTAAGGACTTGTGCCAACTTAAACATAATGAATTCCTATCACAGAAGCAGGAGAACAGACCAAGATAAGGCAGATCAGTACGACCGTTTCCAACTTAATAGTCATCGTCGGCCAGTCAAACCCAACCCTAGATGCGGAGCAGGAAGGACTCCAACCCGGAATTTTCGGTCATTGAACGGTAGTAAGTTCACGTTTTACCATTGAGCTACGGCGCGAACTTACAGTAGATGGGCTAACTCATGAAATGTCGACCGAAATTACGAAATGTGTTTTGGTTTCGAAAAGATTAATTTAGCAGGGTTGTAAAACTAATCATCGTGTAACGTAGTTCCATTATAATTCAATTACCTCAAGATACCGGCGTTCGAATGAACGCCTTTCTGGCTGCATGCAAAACTCATAATCTTTAAAAAATGACCACCGAAGTACCATGCACTTTTCTCATTGATTTTCGATGTCCTCAAGCATTCAATTGTATTTCATGGAAAACATGCATAAAAATACTCACTTTCTTGCCCATTCGGTAGAAAATGACGCCTTCTTTCAACTTAACACCCAAACGGAGGGTATAATTCGGTTTTCAAAAACTTTTCCAATTCGCGAATAAGTTCGAACCTGATCTGCCGTTACACTTGCAATCAGGGTTTCCAAACTACGAGCTGTATATTTTCCGTGTACGGAAAAGCATACATTTCTCTACGGTATTAGGAGGAGATCATATGGGGTTCATAAAATTTAGCAGTGGATTTGAGCCATATTGTTAACTTTACAAACGACATTAGGAAATGCAGAGACGTGACGATTTATGAACGGCTATTTCACGGTATTTAAAAGTCCCACGATTAGAAATCTTTTAAGACCGAATTATGTTTCTTCTTCGAGTATAAAATTGGAAGATGTAATTTCCTACTGAAGGAGCGAAAAAATGAATATTTTCATGCATGTTTTCCACGAACTATAATTGCATTTGTAAGGACATCGAAAATCAATGAGAAAAATGCATGATACTTAAGTAGTCATTTTCTACAGAAGACAGTTTTTGTATGCAGCCGAAAAGTGGTTCTTCCGAAAGCCGGCAATCTGAGATAACTGAATTATTATAGAATTATGCTGCATGATGATTAGTTTTACAACCCTTCTTAATTAATTTTTTCCGAAACGAAAACGCATTTCAGAATTTCGGTTGACATTTCGCGAGTTAGCCCACCTACTGTGCCTGCGGGGCCTACAGACTGAGCCCCGAGGCGCAACGGTACGAACATATTCCGTAACCTGGTCGGTAAATGTCCTTCCCCCGATAGATAATAGATCCGTCTGTAGCGAATGACGTGCACCACTGCCCCACAAGGCAGATTCAGGGGAAACTTGCGTGTGGAGCAGACTCGTGCGTCATTCACCTCACTCCCTTTGTCTGTACGATTAATATTAAAAGGGCATGAAACGGTTAAGGTGATAGGAGATGGGCGTGTGCTCGGTGGTTGATAAGTAAGTCACCTTAAAGCGTACCACACACGAAGTTTGCTTTAAGTCCATATGTAGTAGGCCTCAGCAAGGGGGTGTCGGGTCTAATACAAGTGAGAGTGCCATCAAGGCGACACTGAAAAGTCCTTGCAGCCTAGCATTCACCCTTATTAGGACCGGGTCATCCCACTAGTTGGCAATATTTAAAGCTACTACGGTAGTGCGTCGTAGCGGTCTCAAAGCGTGCTGGTTGTTTACAGTGAGGCAACTAAATGGTAGATCTGAGTTGGAACGTGATATTAATAAATCTTCCTCCTCCTCCTAAACCAGCAAGAAGTCCGCGTCAGTTCGACTGTCGATGTGGCGTAAAGCCTGAGTCTAACGAATGTCACACACGTGTGCCAATAGTACAGACTTTCAGTCTTCTATATTGCGAAAAAGGTTGATGCGTTCGAGTCTGGGCATAATAGCCAGAAAACGCAGCATTCTTAGTCTCAATCTTACTCCTAAGAAGTCAGGACCTATTTTTCGTCACAAAAGGAGGCGTACGACCTAAAGCTATCGCTAAATTAGAGTTCTCCACGAAACATCGAAAAAGAGAACGCCGCAATGAGACAAAACAAATCAGCTAGGAAAAAATCCCAATTACCATGTATAATATGAGTGTTGTTTTAATCGCATATCAATCCTTGTTCAGTCTTTCTATGATGAACATACGATTTAAATTAAGTTTCTATAGGGTTCTACTAAGACAGACAAAAATTTGCGTTTTTTGTCGGAAGATAGTTTATCTATCGCAATAACACCTGGCTGCGAAAAAGAAGCAGGCCAAAATTGGAACATTTTTTGAAAAAGAGCACTGCAATTTGGAAAACATAAAAATTTTCGACAAATTATCCAGACGGCTAGGTAAAAAACGACTCGAAACAATTTGATCAACGGGCGGCGTGTAAAGGAAGTTATACGTTACATAGTTCAACTGGAAAGCGGCAAATCAAGCCAGCATGGACTGGTTCAAACTAAATGTGCGGCGTTCGAGTAGGCATTTATGCGAAGGAAAAAATTGGCAGCTACACGAGAGCCCAGATTCTTATTTAATTTAAGTGGTCTGGAAGCCTTATGTCTAAAACTCTATGAATGAGTGTAAAGGGCATTTACTGCTAAGAGTGGAAAAGGTTATCTGCAAACAGGAAACTGGATTCTATTGTCAATTTTCTTATGTCCCGTAGTTATAGACGTGAAAGGCGGAACGAGGATAAAACCCCAAGGGACTATAAGACAACATATCTTTAGATGGTCGAACATGAAACATCTGCGGTAATTTAAAAAAAAACAATGAAAAAATATGATGTGTTGGTAAAATGTGTAAGACCTGCGACTGCTATTCCATGCAAAATTAATATGCTGCACAGTCTCACTATTAAATGTACTTGAACAAATTAGCTCCAACTATCGAAGTGAGAAAAAGGAACGCTTCTCTTAGTGACACCTAGCGCATTCAACCAAATTTAGGGTCTATCTTTAAGGGCGTTCTGCTGTTTGTTTCAATGATTGTTGGGGGCCAGACATGAGTCACACACTCAAGGGCTGGGCGAGCGTCTGAATGCTTAACTAGTCGACAGCTAGATTCCGGCGGAAGTCTAGTTCTGCTGGCTGCTAACACCAAACATAATACCGATTGGCTTAGAGACGATCGTAATCTGATTGGTCGGGGTTGCACGGTCAGCCATTTGGCAAAATGTGCTCAGCCGTTCTGTAGAGTAGCCGAGATGATAGGTCACCGAGCAAGGTCACGTGGAGATTGTAAACTCATTGCGTCCGTTCTCGAGCGTATGATCGACGGCGACTGCGTCAAGAGTCTCGAAATGCCCTTATCGCATATCGGGGCTGAGCGGTTAGCAGGTTTGGGTACGTGTGCATGCGAAGCACTGACTCAGGACCGGGTGAAGTGACGGTCTGGATGACTCAGTGCGTGCGATGAGGGTGTTCTTTCAAGCTTACACCAATCATGTGCCATCTGCGGTCAAATAAAAGACTGCGCTCTGGCAATAGTGAGCATACAGTCAATGGAAGTCCGGCATATGTGGGCTTGAAGGAGCAAATAAGAATGACCTCACACATGGAACAGTTATTTTCCCATGACGACTTGCACAACGGAGATTAAGCAACACCCAAGGAGAGGAAGGATCAATGATTTCGCACAAACATGGGTGATCGAAAGTTAACTTCTAACTGATGCTGAGGCCGCGGCGAGAATTTGTACCAGTGCGACTTTGACAAACAAGTCAAACCATAGAGAACAGGCTTCCTCACTCAATCTCCGGTACCTAGAGCAAAAGTCCCCTAGTAATTCAATGTAGTCCTAGATTAGGTGAGAAGGAGGCCATAAAATCTTACGAACCAGAACGGGAGGTCAGTTAGATCGGAGACATGCGGTCCAATTACAGAACTATCCTCGTTTCTCTTCGCTCTCAGAATAAGAGACGGCGGAGGGTGTCTGGCTTACTGCTGCAGCTGGAGCCAGCCATGGCGTTTCGAGATCACCTGCCTTGTTGTTTTTTCTTTGTAGTTGGGTTGTTAGGTATGCTGACCTCCCCGTTAAACATCCAAGTAAAGTCAGCGGGATTATTTCCGGATTGTAGGCAGAAAAATTCACGCGACGGCTTATCGACTGCTGCCTGTCGCTGCATGACACGTGCGACAGTTCGGCCGTCGTTGCTGACGATATCCACCGTGTGCTCCACTGAAAAGTGAAGCAAACACGGTGACTTGTACGTGAAGTAGTTTAAAGTGATAGTGGACTCGCGCTGCATCTACCGCACACTCTCCTCCCCACTACCCACCTGGACTCGCTGTCAGGACAGAGTCAAGAAGACCGGAGGCGGGGAGGGGGCGCAGGCACGGTCGAGCCGGCACCCTGGCGTTCCACTCCACACCCCCTGATCCACAGCAAATAACCAGGTTTTTGACCAACAACAACCTCTCAACAGGGGTCAGAAAGAAGAGGATGACGACTGAGTAGCCATACCCACAATAACGTATGACGAGTACGGCGTACCTAGCAAGTTCAATTTGCTCAATAAAATCAACGAGAAAACAACAAAATGATAGCTCGAAGCACATGGTCTAATCGGTCAAAAGGGCTACCTAACGTACAAACGGGCATGCAAGTCAAATTCACAACAGAAATGTTGGAAAACGTTGTAAGCAGGCGACTAGTTTTCCACAAGAATACATTCAAAGATCAATATTGACATTTAATGAAATGAAACCTCGTCTACACGCTCTTTCAAAGAGCAGGAACATTTTTTCCAAGTGAGACAGTAAACTCGGAATTCGCCGACCCATAAGCAAACCTCACCAAATACGGTTATCCAAACTGTTTCATTCAGAAATATAGTCACTCCTTGCTGCACACATTTATGGAGCAGTCGGCACCGTAAAAGTCCGCTACAACTTAAAGACGACGGTATTTCGAACATGTTCAAGCAACGGTTGCGATGCATCATTGAAAGGATTTAGGAAGCAGCCCAACCAAGATTAGGAAGGATGCCTTTCCACTGACCTCTAACACAAATCGTATTTATGAGTTCATACATGCTTTCGTACAGTCGACGAAGGCAAAGGCAACTGGCAGCCAGATCGATTGAGCACTTGTCTAAATGACCTTCAAGGTCAGAAAACAGGGTCGTCCGCTTTGCCAGTACCAAATACTTCCTTAATGTTGGTCAATCCGTTGACTTCAAAACAGCCCTTCGGAAATGTGTTCGTGCATGAACAACTCCGACATTGTGATAAATAGAAGCAGCCTATATACGTCGTAGAGACCTGACTTGTGCAAACAACTAGACTATGTAGTAAAACTTAACTTGTCTTGGTAATCTCCAATCCTTACATTTAGACACAGCGCTGTACGTCAGCTTGTCCTATTTTTCTCTCACACAATCGTGTTTTTAAGTGACCCTCTTAATCGAGTAGTTTGTGAGTTCCAAACACACTGATTTTCTGAACAAATTCAACTTGCTGTGTGCCGTATACTCGTTACCTAGGTCATGCAGCAACAGGTAACAGTAGAAGAGCCGTCGCAAAGTTATTGTTACCATTAATTCCTGCTGTCCAAACTTATTTTAGATTCGTAGCGCGGACAAAATACTTAAAGCAGCCACATGTGTCTAATCGGATAGTGTGAGTAGACGGCCACAGCAGCCCCCTGCGACGAAATCACAGACGCCACAGGTGTGGATGTGACGTGTGAACTGTCATTTGTTAGGCGAATGTCAGCGAATCAAAAAGGAGTGGCATTCTTCGTGGTTGTGGAAGACAGCTATGCGCCCCAAACGGGCCACGTGGTAGGTGCGCTGGACCAACACGGAGGCCATATCGGATTCTGGTATGCGTTATCGGATTTGCGCATCATAACAAATGCAAACATTTCAGGTGGACGGTGGCCGACTCCGTTGCCAGCAGACGTCATGCACACTGGAACCCCTTGCGCCTCCCATTGTGGTTGCTGGTCAAAAACCTGGTCACTTTTGTATGATCCAAGGGGTGTGGAGTGGAACGCCAAGGTGCGGGCCCAACCGTGGCATCCACCTGCGCCCTCCCCCGCCCCCGGTCTTCTTAACTATGTCTTGACACCGGCTCCAGGTGGGGGAGGAGGAGAGTGTGCTAGATGCTGTGCAAGTCTGCTATTATTGTAAACTAAATCACGCACAAGTCACCGTCCCTGTTCTCGCCTTGGTGTGGAGCACACGGTGGACATAGTCGTAAACGACGGGTTATTTGGCGCTTTCCGTAACTTTTCGCATATGTTTTGGCGCATGTTGTATGTATGTATGCCTGCGGGAAAACGAGGTCTGTGGCAACCGACAGAATAACGAGTCTGTGGCTCAGTGGTTACGGGCGTTGGGCTTCCAATAAGTAGGTCGCGGCACCGAGCCCCAGGACTTGTACACCTCGGGGTTGGGCATGGCTGCCTGACGATGGTTAATAAGCCAAAATGGCTCTTCCAGTCGCCCTTGTCTTTGTCGTCAATGTCATTCTGCCTATATTACGAGCCGATGTGCGGCTGCCGGCGGGCCTGGAGAGAGAGCCCCAAGGCGCAACGAGACAAGTGGGTTTCGTAGCGCGATTTCGATAAAGACAGTAATGTAATGAGAGCTTCTAACATTTATGGGGTAGGAAGGACCTGCAAAACTCCAGCTGAGCTGCTCTTACGGTGAAATGGTTAGGACCAAACTCAGCGAGCCCCAGTGAATGCAAAACGACCCACGTCAAGTGTGTAAAAACCTGGCTCAAGAGACAAAAACCTATGCCTAAGCTGCTGGAAAAGACAATACTGAGGAAGCATTGAGGTGCTCGCAAGTGCAGGCAGAAGGCTGTAAAAGATTTTAAAAAAATGGCCGAATCATAGTCATTTACGTTGTTTCTTGAGGTGCAGTGAATTGTAAGAAGAAAACGATGAAAACGGAGAGAAAAGAAAAGCCCACTGTTCACCCAAATATAACTATGTCGGAACTCTTCGGAAATCCTTCCACAAAGTGAAATACCTACAAGGCGGTTGAATGTACGCGAACAAATTTTACTTTGTGCACTGTCAGATGGTCTGTCCCCAGGAAAGTGAAGGCAGTGGCGATTTAAGCACCCAATGAGGGGAAACATAGTAAGACACAGATACAAGAAAGTTAGGTTTGACGCTGTCTGCACTGCCGATAGACGCAGAGGGCGTCTCGCGAAGGCAATATGATGGAGGTTGGATTACTTGCAGCAATAAATAGCATTTAACTACTTGTAATTGGATTCCGGGTTTCGTCTCGGAATCTATTGGCGGTAGCATTTTACTTCGGTAAAAAATTATAGAATCATTTTTTGCATCTGCTGGAAACTGATATTGACACTTTTAACTACCTGGAGAAAGAAGAGCGATTCTGTCGATGCCTTTGTCTTCCTCTCGGATTGCCTCAATCAGGTCGCCTACAGTGTTGCTGAGGGGCCGCATAGTAAAAACGCACGTCTCTTTCCGCGATGGCAGAGGAATGTGAAAACGCGGAAGGCCATTGGTCAGGACAACCTGTGCTGCGGGCTCGGCCGACTGGACGGAAAATCTACGGGTGAGCTGGCAGGGAGGGCGTAAGTAAAGCCCGCCCCGTCCACAAACCTACAGATGAGAAATAAACGCGCGTAGAGGCCTAGGTGACTTGAAAAACATGGCCTTTTATAGTAAGGAAACAGTGATATTTTAGTGAATTTAGATTTGAAGTGCTGGTATCCGCTTACTCTCAGGACAGCTTGTTTTTGGCACGGCTCATTTTCGACCAGGAGGTCAAATTCTGTTCATAAAATAGTTTTTGGTGGTGTATTGGGTGCTGCCAATCACCTTACCTGAATGGTGATTGTAGGAATGTTTCATCTGCCAAGTAAAATAATACTGACCGTCTCATCTCAGAATAATGGCGAATTAAAAGATGAAACGGAAGAAAATAATGAAATACGATGCAAAAATTTGATATTGGTGCACCCAAGCACTGCGAGAACAAGTCCACGGACAACTTATCACACTAAAGTTCGATTATAAAAATGGGTTCCCTTCCGGAAAACTTAGGGCGAACCCGAGTGCAAGGCTGGATGCAATACAGCAGCAGAAAAAGGACTCGGTAATTATTCGTTGGCATAACAACACGCGAACCAAACATTTTGGTTTTTAGACTCATAGTCCTTTTGTGGTCATTATTACCAAAACAACTGTAGGATGCCCGACTATGCCGAAGTAGATTAAGCGTATCTGCATAAGCAACATCGTGACGTGTATGGAAATTGACTTACGGAAACTGAAAAAATATACACGGAGTTGGATAAGATGAAATCAGCCTACAGAACTGGGAGCTTCCTGTGAATTAAGATCCAAGAATTTCTAGGCAGTACATGCTACTCAGTCATTTGGTTGGATTGAATACCGACCTAACGCAAGCAAAAGGCAACAACAAACATGCAACTGGTTACTCCAGAAGTTGAAGTACTTAAGGCAGAATTGAGAAAATTAACCGCTCTCACTGATGGGGAGGTGGAACAAAATGACGACCATACTTTCAATGAAGATCCCAAACATCACACTAAAAATGCACAAAATGTTTGCGTGGCGGGGACATGTCGAATCTGCTCCCTCAATGCCTATACACGATGCATGGACATGGAGAACTAGGATTATCATAAAAATGCCACGTGGAGAGAATGTAACTGTGTGTGCTGTCAAAGGAACGGTGCAACAGCAAAACAAACCTAGAGTTCGGTTCAAACGAAGTAAGATACTCTCGAGTCCTCAACAAATATCAAATGTATTTAACCAGAAGGCGCAGACTTAAGTTACATTTGAATCCAACGTTATTTTGGATCAAATACAAATTCGTCAAACAGTGAGGAAGGATGAAGACGTAAAATTACGTAGATGTAGCAGAATCAGTTCCAAGTACGTGTAGGTAAGGTCTGACACTAATAAATTACAATGATCATGGAGATAAGGATAATGGAATACAGAGGACATGCCGAAAGTCAAGACAAAGCCGTCCGGTTTTGAGAAGAATGGTCATTCAAAGGTAGAATTTGGATGTTAAAACTGTTGAAGTATTTTCCTTGGGCAAGAGGTCACAGAATGGCCTTCAATAAAAATTACCGTCGGACTAAACCATGGAATGCGTTTAACGACGTGCTATGAGGAAGGATGGTAAATTAGAGCAGAAGGCGCGACAGAGCTGGGGGGTTACGGGGTTCACAGCGCGTGACAAAATTGTCTGTTGCACAGTTGAAGTTAAGGTGAAAGCTGAAAATGGCCCGACTGACCAAGTGAGTTCTTCTCAAGAAGAGTTCACTTGGTCAGTTGGGCCATTTTCAGTTTTCAGAGATCGGAAAAGGACAAATGTTTGATCAAACAGAGATCGGAAAACGACGATTGTTTGATCAAACAATTGTCCTTTTCCGATCTCTTACAAGTTGGGTATGTTTATACTTTCTCAATTTTGTACGAAGGAATGCACTGCGGGAGAAAATTAACAATAGTGCGTCTGCTAAGAACAAACGTGCTAGTGCTTTTAAAAACCCTTGTAAACTAGTAACGGCTGTCATATACTCACAGGCGATCATAAAAAAGCAATGACTGTGAGCTTAACCAAATTAGCACTCTATAGTGAAGACTCTTGTCCGCATGGATTAGAGGAATTAGCTTAGAAGCTAGTATGAACAGCAAACTCAGAAGAACGTGAAGTCTTTCAATTATAAAAATGTGATTCAAATTAAACACATCGACTACAAGGACAACACCGAATGACCTTATGCTGCAAGGTGCTTGCTCTCGGAAGACTGCAATGAGCAAGATTTCAGACGGCAAGTGCCCATTATGTGGATTGAGTAGGTTAAACCAGTTCTGGTGAAACCGGAGACATGCACTCAGTGCGACAGTGTAAAATACTGATTCGGACGTCGGGCATGAGCAGCCGGACCACCGGTGATCGAAACACTAACTCAAAGACATAATACCAGTCTGTTACGTCAAATCCTGTTCGTTTAACTCTAAATATGCTCAAGTGGCTGATGAATAATACGTGTGCGGATAAGTGTGTACGAAAATGAAAGATCTCGGATGAGGTGAGGAATGCTAAGGACGGTAATCGGCCACCCCGATAATTACAGCATTTTTAAATAAGAGGCAGGTACGGTTGAGGAAAAAAAGTTAGGTAGAACCAATAATTTGGAACCGAGCGAGAAATGTGAACAAAGAGTCAGTGGTGATGCTAACGCCAATTTTACAATAAACTAGGAGGTTTGTTATGTGGAGTAGGCGAAAATTTATCGTACAGAACTGGGATCTATAAATGCAATAAGCATTACCCTCGAAATCGGAGCCAGACCAATGGGACTGACAGCCATAGCGCCAGGTGACCACAAAGAGAGAACCGGCGGAAAAAAGTACAATCAATCTTGGCGATCAAGGCCACGAATGACGCAGTAAAAGACGTGCTTCGCCTACAATGAAATGGGCATTTAATGAGGGAAAATAACAGTTTTTCAGACTTCTTCCTGTTTTAAATCCTATTTGTTTGTGGGTTGGCAATGGTGTTATCGCAATCTTAGTCGGGACAAAACCTGTATGTATCTGAAGGGTTACATACAAGACCATCAAGGACCTATGCTATCGTGTGTTAGGGTAAACGTCATGGACTGAGAGGTTAACACAAACACTTTCATTAGATTTATTACTCTACTCACATGAAAAATACAATAAACACATCTGTGTGCATACAGTTACATGGTGGGCTTGTAAATTTGAGGCGCCGTTTTTGGTTGCTCTCCCTTCATACGCGGAGTTTTTGAAACTGTACATTACTCTTCCTATCTCCCTTCAATATACTGGTCCTTCTTACGTCTTTTGTTTATCTGACCTAAGATAATGAGATCATCTCTCACTACTGCACTTTTCGGCCAGCATGTCGCGTTTTTGATCGTTCTGCGTTAACTTTATCACACTTACATCAACAAAAGCCTATGCATGGGAGAAAACACCAGTGCAGTTGGCAGCTTGCACTTAAGCGTCAGCCAAACAACAAATTGACAATTCTAGGCTTCGAATAATAATAATAACCACAGTTTTAAATGTCATTTTACCGGCTGTTTCAGGGAAGGGCAAAGCACAAATCCGGCCAGCAGTGAAAAAACTCCTGACAAAAAGGAATAAAAATAAAGACGATGGTGGTTTTTTTTATAGTTTGGAGGGTTCGGAAGAAAAAAACTGCTGCCCATGAAATGACGACAGCCGATAAAGGGAGACGAAGCACTGCATGGGATATTATCAGTCACCAGTTCTTTTCATGAAGTTGGGGCTGGAGCTAACAGAAACACTGAAGAACATCTGTCGCTGTTGGCTAAAGAAATTGTCCCTGGTGAGAGGGGCCATGGAGATCAGAGACCAAGAACGTCATCGCTACGGTAAAGTCGATCAGTGGATTTAGCACCCAAAATTTATGGAAGTTTTACTGAATGCAAAAATCGAGTAATAATTCTCTCAAACGAAGGATACTTTTGCAGAACTGTGATATTCCTGGGTAATGTATTCCAAATAGCAATTGCGTTACCAGTATCAGAGAGACAGAACGCATCCTAAGTGAGATCCGTTTTAGTGAAGAAACTGTTAAAGTAGCAATCAAACAACTAACCAACGCCAACTCCTTTTGAACGGATAAAATCCCACCATGTATTCTGAAGCATAAGACATATGCTCCAATACTCCTATCTCAGTTATTCACCCTAATCCAGTCAAGTGCAATTTTTCCGGGCATGTGGAAATACTCGACCAATGCACCTATCTTTAAAAGCAGCAGCCGATCTCGTACACAAAACTATCGTGATGTTCACCGAACACCGGCTATAGCTAAATCATCGGGAAAATAGTCTACAACCAATTGCTAAACCGTCTCACTAAGGACAATCTCATTCCCGCCTCTCAACATGCACTTTTGCCTAAAACATCATGTCAGTCCTGCCATCTTACTTTTTGAAATTTGTTTCCAGCAAGAGAGATGATGGAAACACAGTAGCTTCAAAATACTTTGATCTAAAGAAAACCTTTGACGAAGTCTTCCATAAAAGACTACTGATAAAGCCAAAAAGTCATGGAATTAGGCCCCCCCTTCCGGACTTTCTCGAATCCTATCTTTAAAATAGATATCAAGTGGAGCAAATTCGAAACGTAGTCTCAGAACCATCGCCTATTACCAGTGGAGTACTTAAATGCCACTATCCTGGGCCCCCTAATATTTCTCAAATATATATTCAGGACTTATCGTCCATATCAGTATCAGCTAAGACGTTTTTGTATGCGGACGACCTGAAACTTGCATATGCATATAACGGGAATAAAGTAGACAATATTCACAGAACAATCGAAAACAATCTCATAAAACTCGGCGAATGAAGTAGCCAATGGCAGATGACATTTTCACGCGAAAAATGCCATCTACTGATCCTTAGTCCCCCCAAAAAAATATTCGAGGAAAATGAAATAAAAGAAGCCCAAT